GCGACTTATTGAAAGACCAAGGCAGAGTTGGAGACGAAAAGTGTAAATGGGAAAGCGTCATGAGTTTTTCACCATATTATATCTAAGGTTTGATGTCGCTGTCCATAAACATTCATGCACACCTATAATATATAATTACAATCGTTCACATTCACTCGCTTTCTTCTAATTTGGCTAAATGCTGCTTTTGGCAATATTAATGAGCGCTAAAGCTTGGTCACATCATCGATGAAGGCAGTGACTTTTAATTAAGGCGACCGCATCGAATATTTCGTAATTTAATTTTGAGCAATCAGCAAGCTAAACAAGCAAACTAAGTAACTAGCAAACGAGGATGCTCGACTAGGAGATACCCTCAACTAGGAATACATTCTTAATTTTATTTATTTATCAGGTTATCTTTAAACTTGATTCATATTTCATGAATAACTTTTATTAAGAAAAGGGGTAACAAATTGATGCTTATTTATTAAGTCAGCAGGGTAAGAAAAAAACGCAAGATCTGGGACACACCTTTAAGAGCTGTGGCGTCTTCGTCACGGATTGTTATTGTCGTCAGCTCATTGGGCAGCGCAGTTGATTGCATTGATTACATAAAAGTATTTGGGCAGCTTTGGCTCATTGCACCTGTACTTATATGCGAGCGTTTGTGTGTGTTTATGTTTTGTAATTGTGACTGTCTTTGAGTGAAAGTTCTGTTTTAGCTGTGCTTAATGCTGCTTATGTGTGGAAAATTGCACGGATTTTTTCAGAGGCAAGCCGAAGCCGAACTCGAATTCAAACTCGTTGTGAAAAGTGAAAACTTGCAAACTGGAAAAACTACACTGCTGCGGTGGCTGCTCGACTGCTATTTCCGCTGCCTGGCCAAAGGGGTCATTTACTTGTGCACTGTCCACCTCTGCTCAGCTCAGCCCAGCACAGTCCAGCCAGCGGGCAAATTTAATTTACCTTCAACTATCATACAATTTGGCTTAACTGAAATGGCCTGGCGTGGTCCAGACCATGACGGCTGCTGATGCTGGCTTGCAATTATGTGGCATTTCAATGTCAAAGTGAAAGTTTGCTCTCAGCAGTCACGGCAACCATCGTTGACTGTCGTTTTAGATATGATTTTACGGGTGTAGCTACTGCTCCCGCTCCCACTCCTGCTTCCATACCGCTACTGGTCGCACTTTTGTCAGCGCACTTCAACTTCAACTCAAAGGCAATGGGTGTCATGGAGTCGTAGAACTCGTTAGTCAAGCGAGAAAGTTACCTCTGCTTTGGAATGGGGGTGGCATCGTTATGCAGGAGCTTCCCCGCTAAAATTGTCAAATTATAGGTATGTATTTTTATGAGCTTTGTTTTCTTTCAATTAACTTCGGGTGCGGCAACTGTTGCTATATGCGGGGCTTGTTAGATAAAAATAATGAATATAAAAGAAACAACAATATTCTTCCCTAGGATTGAAATTTAAATATTTTCTTTTATCTAGAAGAAATATACAAATGAGTGTAAAACAGAGATTAGGCTGCATTTTGATTCCGGAGTATGTATAAGTAAATAGACTCTCGGATACAACATGCAGCTTCAGTTAGTTAAAAATTTAAGGCCGCGACTTGTGCCACATTTAAAATACTTAGTATTTGGCTAGAAAGAAGAAAAATCCTTTCTGCAAGCACCCTACCCAAAGTTGACCTAAACGATTCATACGCCATGAACTCTCCAAAAATCAATTTGCTGATAAGTGTGTAATCATAAACTGAGCCTTGAGTCGGCTAGATTCGCAAGACTGATATTCACGCCAGATTAATGCCACAGCATTAAATAAATGTGCAATTGGTTTGCTGGAAAAATAAGTCAATTTTAACCTAATAAATTCACTTAATTAAGTACATGTGAATTTTTGGCTTTGAATAAACTGATGCAATCATTAGGATATGGCCCTATTGAACATTAAGGACTTTTGATATTTTCCTTTTAGTATTTTCGTATTCTTCCCAAGTATTTTTCAAGTATAACTTTCTCGAATGGCATCTCATAGGCAAAAAACGGTAAGGAAACCTTTCTTTCTTGGTAGATTGAGGCCCTCAAATGAAAGTACTTTCTATTAGAATTATTTATCTAATCATTTATCAATTTTTACTCTTTTCTGGTTTATTAGGTGAGTTCATGTATATAACCACAAAAAAAAGCGAACCAAATAAAACACCCCACAAAAAGGTCATATACTCTTTGTGCCACTGAACTAAGTTTATAAAAGACATTATTTTTACTCCATGAAAATGTTGTTGAAAATTCCAAAAAATTTCTGTCCAAGTGATTAGCACATGATTCATAAAGATACATTTCATACAAATAAGCTCCTGCTCATTAACATCTGGTTATTATATTTGCTGCATAAATGAATTATAACTTATATTTAATTAAGGTAATAAATGCTGAATGGTCAATTGTCATCCTGAAAAAAACATGAACTTATTTTTTGACATGTTGACTGCGCGTTTGCAAGAATTTATATGAGAAATTTGGAAGAAGTCGACCTGTGTCATTATATTTTAGATTTTAAGAAAAAAGAAATGTATCATTCTAAATTTAGCTAAAGTACAAATATCGTTGAAAATGATTTCTGTTACTCAATCCACTAAAAAGCAAGTTGTCTTACCGCAGAAAAATCATTAGATTTGTTGCATGCTGATGCCAGAATACTGGAGCGCAGCTCGATCATAAATAATGCGCCATTGGCGAAGACTTTGCTCATGGTATATCAAAGCCATACGAAAATGTTTGTGGCTGATAAAATCACTCACCCACCCGTCCTGTTGGCTGACCCGAGGACTTACTTTTGGCGAAAGGCTTTTGTGGCTTCAATGGTTGCATAGGCGGCCATCTCCCGTTGCTCTGACTCTGCATTGGGCGCGTTGAAGCGCGAGAGTAGGGCGGCTGGGTGGTTATCCTGCAGCGTTTGACCTTCAAATGAAAAAAGTTACAAATGTGGTTGCAGCAATAAAAAACCAATCGCACACCATTAAGCAGCATTTGTGGTTGTATTCTGCCATACAGCTCGGCCATGGCATTGAGTCCTTGCTGCACGCTCTGCTGCAACGCCACATCCATCAGAGTGGGTCGACGGGAGCGTGTATTCCTGTGGCTCTGTTGGAATGTCAGTTCTGTTGGCAACGTTAATGGCCGAGGTAGCTCTTGAGTGGGCGGTTTGCTACTAGCATACCCTACTGACTCCGGCTCCTGATCATGCCCCCAACCTGCGTCTGACGACAGCAGCAGAGTCAACAGCGACAACCGCAGCATAACAACTTTGTGTCTCATGTGGAAAGTTTAACCAATGCCCAGGAGCTGATAAACTGTAAAAACACATCAAAGTTCATAAGCTGCCTGCAAAGTTCGATTATAAGCTGTGTCATAAGACCTATTCGATAGCATACCCATGGGGCACCTTCACTAAAGCTAATTATTGCTACTCTTAATTCATTCAAATTTGTTCCTTTATAGACCCATCCACTGGTAGCAATGTTTGATTGCGCAAGTGAAGAAATAAAAAAATTGTAAAAAAAAACAAATGGAATGGAAAAGGGGTATATTGGTGTGTATGCCACGGGAAATGGGAAGCTCTCTGACGCCATTATTACTATATGTATATATTTTTTCTCAACATTACCAGACGAGTTGATTTACACATTTTCGTACGTTAATCTTTCCATCCGTCTATCCATGCCGACACGCATATATCGGAGATTGTAAGAGCTAGCTTCACCAACTCTCGTATCTCGCATAATAAGTACAGATCCAAAGTATTTTATTGATAACTTTTTCACGCCTTATCCAATATTGTAAAACGCAAATTTTACGAGGTATAGCCTAGTGCTTTGGTATTTTCACACGTTCGGTTTCCATATTATATGTGCCTAAAGATCGAATAACAAACCCCAAAGTTGTAGAAGATCGGATAAGGGAAAGGGAAATATGCTGCAACCATGTGATTTTATGTATAAATTTAAGCTTCAAGACTTGTAGCGGCTGCATCACAGTATCTTGAGGGTTTCACCTAATCCTGACTGGAGCATTCTTTCTTGTTAATCCTGGCTATTGGAATCTTTGTACACATATATTTCTTAAGCATCAATTATTCAACGGGTACATGTAAATATGAAATCCGTCCATTTGTTATTCGTTATTAGACTGAAGGGGGGAAACTAAAACTTACACACACCAGGGTGAAATTAACCTGACCTTGTTTGAAGATTTAGATGCAAGTCATGGAAAATTCTTATACATCATTTTTATACCCCGTACTCATTCCAAGCTGGGTGAAATGGCTTTCTTAAACAAAAATATCTAACCATGTTCGCCAGTTTGAACTCGTTGATCTCAGAGACTAATAATAATAGAGCTATAAAATATACGAACAAGTTTTTTTATTTATATTTTTTTTTTGATTTACAGCGCCCTTAATATTGATAAAAATACACCCTCTCATTTTAATAGAAATATCATTTGAAAAAACAATCCGAAAATAATTAAAAAAATAATATAAAAATAAAAATATATTCTAGATAATTGGAAAGAAGACGCAAAGAGTGCATGTTGCGACGGCAGGTAAATGGTATCTACTAGTCGGGCTCCCTCGAATATTAATTAAAATTATCTCTGGGTAAAGTATAAAACACTAAATTGTATCAATCAACGTGCAAATTAACTTTAATTATCGAATGAGTTGCGTCGCGGATCGACAATGTAATGCCGATTATTGTTGTTGTTGTTACTGCGCCATATTACATCAACGCTTAAAAATGTGTCACAATCAGGGAATGCAAGCCGGCGGTAAAGTAAAAGTTGTCATTAAATGTTTTCTGATACATTTTTTATTCTTCCTTTTTTATACGATCGTTTTCACTATCTCTATATTCTACATCATTTCACACTTATTCCGCACTTTTTGTTGGCTCTGGCCGACTGATTTTGTGCTATGGTGGGCATTTCTTTGTATTTTGATGTAACACATTAAGAGTGGCGGTTCTCTGTATAATATAAAAATATTAACTGCAATTCATTCGAACTTGTAATGTTAATAGTTGCTGCATCTGCTTCTGTTCACTGTTCATTACCCAGCTGCATGCAGTGGTGGCTTGTGGGGTTGATGAAAGGGGGTGGACTTGAAAATCTCATCTTTGGAACGGAAATCCTCCGACAATGTACAAGTGCACATATATATGTAGTTACATGTCTCTTCAAATAACTAATTAATGAAAGTGACTAAAATTTAACTTAAATGGCAACAGTAAAGAGGTAAGCTGCATTAGGAATAAGGAGTAAGTTAAGATGTGAAGTAATGTATAAGAAATATTGCCCTTATTAAAGTACATGTATTTAGTAATATATATAATAGATAAATATAATTAATTAGTCTAATACAAATCGGGATCAAATTGAATTTAAAATTATCTATCCCCACCTAAACTTTATCATCGCCGTCTTTACCATTACACTTTGGCCGTGCATAATAATTAATTTTTTTTTTATTAATTTTCGTGCACAAATTACGCAATTAAATGTGTTGTCGGCCACAGCAAATAGTCACACTTGCATTAGGCCCTTCTTTGTCTGTGCCCCCTGTGTCGAGTGGCCGGCGGAGCCGGGCTTTGCAATAGTTGAAGCCAGGAAATCGTCATATAGAGAAATTTCCAGGTCGGCCTCAAAACTATTTGTTCGAAGGTGCGCGAACTATGCAAATGTTTAGGACACGCTCACTTAACCAACAGAGACAGGTAGATATTTTAACAAAACGGAAATTGATATACCTTCAAATCAGTTGGTAGCCAAATTGATTCACTCCTGCTGCAATTGATAAAGTAGCAGGAAATGTGCTCGATCACTTTTGAGGGTCTTGTGTCATGAATAGGTGACAGGTATTCACTGGTGTAATGCTTATGTTAATGCTAAAGTTAATGTTAATGTTAATTTTAAGGTCAATGATGATGTTAGTGCCGATGGTAATGTTAATGCCAAAGCATTTCTTCCTGTTCCTCTTCCTGACACGGTTTTACTTTTTAATACTGAGAGCCGCACAAAATAGAAACTTTTTCGCGTTTGTATCTTTGATCGACGTAAACCGAACTAAATCGATTCTCACCTTACAGCTACCATTAGAAGCCAAAAAGACACAGACGCGGCGACACACTGGAGCCAGAAACAGAGCCGCAGCCAGAGGTAGAGCCAGAGTTGGAGCCAAACCGATGCCACAACTTCCATGAGACGCGGCATTGCTCACCAAAAAAAAAGTATATATATCAACGTCAAGAGTTCCAGGCGAGCGACCAGTTCTCGCTGTTGAACGCTGCTGGTACTGCTGCGGGCATCTCGTAGTAGCAGTTGTTTTTTTCCGCTCTTCTACATATTTATTATTTATTTTCAGTTTGGCGCTTATCTTTGCCGAAGCCACCTCAGCCATCAGCGTCAATTCGAATTTGTTGTATATATTGAGAGATAAAATAGCCGGCGGCTGCAAAAATGTCTTACTACATGGTGGGCAACTTCATTGATCGTCATCAATGCGCGGTCCACTCGCCACTCGTATCAAAAAATTCCTAGCTGCGTACTTACCTTCAAGCCCCGGGCACGGCCCTGGGGTCGACCTCAGCAACCCACTCGAGAGCTTGTCTGCATCGCACTCTGCTTATCTTCCGCCTCGTCGGACTGCTTTCAATTAGAAGAGAAAGTTCTTGCTACAAAAAAGCGAAAAAGCTCAACACACAAAAACACACAAACAAATATTTCACCCGGGGGCAAAGATGCTTTTACTTTTAGCTATCGCCCCACCCAATCGAGTAGACAATAGCGAAAATATCTTAAAAATTGCACCTCATAAATTAAGTAGTTAATTTTTTACTGTTGAAACGGTGTCTCACTTTCAGCTCGACAGTGAGCGTAGCTGACAGTCACTGATCAAACGAGATTCTAAGATTAACGGAGGGGAACCCTACGAAATTACCAGAGGTGCACTACACCCAAAGTGTGCATTGACATGACAATGAGCAAGCAAAAGATTTTTTTATTGATACCAATAATAACACCATTTCTAGAACACCAAAAATCGATGATAAGCTAACGAAAGCTGAAACATACTGATTGTCTTAATGGGTGACTGGATGGTGACCAACGCGCAGCACAATCCGTAAGATTCGAATATGAATATGAAAAAAGTCAAAAAAAACAGAGCCATATAACTATACTGTGCAGAAGTAACGCCATGGACATGTGTGGTATGGCATAATAATAATTACAATTTTCTTGTATTTTTTTGTTTTGTCAACTAGAATTCTGTCATGTGTATTAATAAGCCAGTTGTCAATATGTCGATTAAGTAGCTCGGTCCATTGAATTTGAAACTTGGGGCTTAATTATATGAATGAAAGTACATCCGAGCCCCGAGAGTTGTAAGATTAAGAGATTGAGAGATAAAGAAGTATACTTTCGTGTCAGTCTAGTAGGGACAAAGAAGTTTATTTGGCTGCTCAAGCCAGAGGAGACTCGTGATTAATTATTGAATAAATATTACACAAAGCATCATTCTACGATAGATTAAAGATGACTCTACTGGAGTATTTGACGGCAACTGCACACCAGAATCCCAGTTTAATTCACTAAGGGCAAATAACACAAAAATGTTTTTCTGCTCTGATTCAACTCTGTCTTGATGAATCGAATATTGTGGCGACCAGACACGTAACATATTAAACTCCTTCTCGTTTATAATCAAGAGTGACACCAATTTCATTAACTTTATCACCGTTACTGTTGTTGACACGTTCGAGCGGTAAGCTGTCATAGAAAGTCTTTACCTTGCATTTGGGACAGTTCAGATTTGAGAGGTTAACTTGACACTAAGAATAAAAGGAGAGTGACTAGAATGCCAAGGAAGCAGTTTGAAGTGTTAGTCACTTCTCACGGGATTGAAATCCTCCATTATTTTTAAAGCCATCAATTACAATTGAAGTGAATTCAAGGTTATTGTTTGCAGATGAACACTTCATGAACCCATGCTGGTATGGTGAAATTGTTAAGCTTCATAAGGGTTGTGGGAAAAGCGGTTAATTTGGAAATACCTCTATAGTTCTTCCTTTTTTATGGAGAGTAATGATAAATGAATATTTATCTCTTTATATAAAACTGTTTGTCCTGACTGACTGACTGATTGGTGATCAACGCACAGCCCAAACCGTAACAGCTAGGAAGCTGAAATTTGCACTGTAGTTACCTTATGTGATGTAGGTGCACGTTAAGACGGGATTTCGGGAAATTCCACCCGCAAGTGTGGAAAAATAGCGAAAAAAGTTTGTATGTAACTTTTTTGTTTACCATCCGATCGGCCTCAAACTTATTTTCAAAGATCTTTGTTCAAATTCATTTGAGGGGTGGTGATTTTTCTTATAGAAACGTTTTCCGCCAATTTACCACTGTTGCGGGTGGAATTTCCCAAATCGCTGAAATACGTATTTATTAAGTTCTTATGTAGAGCTTTGAAAATAAGTTTGAAGCAAATCGGACACAACTTAAAACTTCGCCCAAAAATTCTTTAAATCGCATTCCCCCCGAAAAAGTTTGGATTCTGCGAAAAATGTGAAACACGTCTCAAATGATTTTTCTTATAGATCTTTGGAATCGAATATGAGCGCGAAACATCACCCACCAAATCTTTGACCTCCATTTCCACCAAGGAGGAATGGATTTTCCTTAAAGTGTGAAACACCCCTCAACAGAATTTGAGCAAAGATCTTTGAAAATAAGTTTGAGGCCGATCGGATGGTAAACAAAAAAGTTACATACAAAGGTTTTTCGTGATTTTTCCACACTTGCGAGTGGAATTTCCCAAATCGCTGAAATACGTATTTATTAAGTTCTTATGTAAAGCTTTGAAAATAAGTTTGAAGCAAATCGGACACAACTTAAAACTTCGCCCAAAAAATCTTTGAATCGCATTCCCCCCGAAGAAGTTTGAATTCTGCGAAAAATGAAAAACACGTCTCAAATGAATTTTCATATAGATACTTGGAAATGAATTTGAGGGCGAAACGTCACCCACCAAATTTTTGACCTCCATTTCCACCAAGGAGGGATGCATTTTCCAAAAAGTGCGAAACACCCCTCAAATGAATTTGAACAAAGATCTTTGAAAATAAGTTTGAGGCCGATCGGATGGTAAACAAAAAAGTTACATACAAACGTTTTTCGCTATTTTTCAACACTTGCGGGTGGAATTTCCCGAAATCCCGTCTTAACGTGCACCTACACCACATAAGGTAACTACAGTGAAAATTGCAGCTTCCTAGCTCTTACGGTTTGGGCTGTGCGTTGATCACCAGTCAGTCAGTCAGTCAGTCAGTCAGTCAGTCAGTCAGTCAGTCAGTCAGTCAGGACAAACAGTTTTATATATAGAGATTAAGTGTTTACAAACAACATAGAAAGTTTAAAAATAGGTTTGAAAAGTGCTGCACACTACTGAAGCACACAATATCAGGGCCCGCTGAGCGTACCGGCTTGAGTATGTTAAGGTCGTTGAGTAGCCGCCATTGACTTTCCTTATAAAATAAGGAATTTTCTACAGAAAAGATTAATCCCATTTTCAAGAGCTTATAAAAATGCGCGTTATGAAACCAACCGTTATGAGAGGATTCCCTCTCCTGGTTTTAATTCTTTAATAGGGGCACGATAGAAGAACTCATGTCAATAAATAAATGACGTAGAGGAGAAGAGAAGGGTTGAATCCATTGACCAGGACCAAGCGACATCTTGAAGTCTCTAAGAACAACCAAGAGATGGCTCGGTGGTTGAGATGCTTAATAAGTTCCGATGAAAAAATAAATTCAACGGCTATGAGTATAAGGTAGAAGGAAGATCGATCAAAGCTGGGAGGATTTTCTGAAGAATCTGAGTTGTCAATCTATAACTGTAGTATAAGAGAATCTACCTAAAGGTTAGGAAGTTTAAGATTTAAGAATATCTGATGTATTTACGTTTTGACGTTGTAATTCATGTTAAGGTTCTACTAGAAAAAGGTTGTAAAAGCGGTTGTGAATCCGAGTGGTTTGGTTTTTATTCTTTAACTGTTAAGTGTTCCGCCGAGAACTCTTTACAGCAGAAATTTTTAAACATTTCAGGTGGAACATTTATTTATACTTTAAGACGATAAGATGAGAAATGTAGGGCAGCCAGGAATTAAAAATATGCTTTTCCGGCGGAACGCTCATTTGAGTCCTAGGCCACACAGCTGTGACAGTGGGAATACTATCAGCCTGACGACGAATTGTCAAGTGGCAGCTGATCTAATTTCTGCTGTAGATCTGTGAAAACTATAAGCAGCAGACTACTCGGATAAAACGTCTGGATTTTCTCCTTCCGAAATTAGATGAGCCGCTGTGTAATCGGAATCGTTGGCTGCAGAGTTTAATTCGGAAGCTGAATGAGACCGTATAAGCACCTGCATCCATACATGAGTCCCAACTAGAGTCCTAAGCATCTCCCACTGGGGCAGTGTGATCGGTGTATTTTGAATACCCACAGTTTTTACATAGCCAACATTCTTTACTGTACCAAAGGTATCCAAGAATAGAAAAGAGTGTATTCATTCTACATTCTACAACCAGTAAATCACGTAACGTCACTGAAATCGCGAATTTAAATAATATGTTGGATTTTAACATTTTCAACTTGCCATTTTTGCCCAAACTAATTTGGAACCCTTTTTTTTCCAAGAGCGATGGATTTTGAGAGCGTTGTCCGTGGCAAGTTTTTTACTTCAAAATGCAAATATCTTTCTTTTACCCATTTCCAGCCTGTGGAAAATTTGTATGTATCTAAAATCAATATTTAAAATTTGCAATTTACATATTATTTCCATGATGAAAATATTCTTTCTTTGAACCGCATTTTCAATGCAAGGAGGGATGAGGATTCTGCGAAAAGTGTGAAAGACGTATCAAATTAATTTCAGACAGATCTTGGAAAATATGTCAATATATATTTTGAACATACACGCATTTTTTTTTCCTAAACGATTTAAAATCTCAATTAATACATAGTTTTAAAAACTGAAGTTGAAAATTGAAAAGGTAAATAAATTAAATTGTTTCTGATTCAAAAATGTGCATACTTTATAGGTTCTTATTTAGATGTACTATTTGAATGAATTTAAAATAAAAAAATATATAAATATCTATAAAGCATTCATTGTATTTAGTCATTATTGCTCAACAAAAGTATTGGGGTGGCATGACTAAGTTTAATTAATGTCATGAAAATATTGTTAAAGATAAGCGCAGAATACTTGAAATAACACCAAGATATTACATATATAACTATAATTATAAGGAATTCCATAAGCCATCGATCATTGCTGATTGTATCTGAATTAAGCAAGGCTGTAGTTGAGAACATGGCACCGTCTAGCGGAAGGTGCACAGACCGTTCCAGCTATAAATATGTTACGTATACATATCTTAAATTAAGTATACGTAAGCAAATGAATTTGCATGACAATAGCCACGCACATGGGTAATTGGATTCAATTAAACTGAGTGCGCAGTTCGCCAAGAAAGAGGGAAAAGAAAAACGAGAGCTAAACACAAACGACAAACTTTGATCCACCAAAAACGATGCACGGAGAGCGCAGAGAATGTGAGAAGCGAAAAGCAAGAAGCGGGCTACGTAGGCGTCAACCCGAAACGAAATGGAATGTTGCAGACTACGGCTACGGTTGGCGTTGATGATAATTGTGACGTACTGGCAAGAGGCAGACGCGGAGGCCGGGACTAATTGGGGACTGACTGGGTCACTGTTACGAGCGTAAGAATAAGCATGCGCTCAGCACACTCACACAGTCATGTAAGAGAGAGCACAGACGGCTATCGACGACACGCAGTTGAGGTTAGAATCGTTTCATACTTGGTTAGAAGAGTGACGCAGCGTGAGAGCGACTACAGCGTTGGACAAAGAACCGTGTGCTTTTGCATTTGACAGATTCAGACTTCGCTTTCATTTCGTTCATTTTTACTTCTCTATTGCTGCATTGTCATTTAAAATTTATGCTTTTTTATATACTTATTTTTTTTTCACTGGTCTTTTACTTTCACACGCAGGCAAAAAAGGTTAAGAGCAGCCACAATGACAATGAAAACGACAACGACAGTGACAACGCCCACGATTGTATTTGCCCAAACTTGTTGGTGATAAGTTGATTTTTTTTTTTCGCCTTTTCTACCTTTACCCTTATTGTGGAGCTTAATTGAATTTTAAAATATCTCAAGAAGCTGTACGTAAAATTTGTTGATTAAAAATTTGAGATTTTATTTGCATTTATTGCATGTTAATTTAGGTTTAACATATTTATATATAGTAAAATTAAAGTTAGGTATAATAAATATAATGTACATATGTATGTTTATATGCAGACACCTGCCGAGCTCTTGTTTACGCTTTTCTCGTTTCGTGGATGAACAATTAAAACAATATTTAGTTTATTATATCTTTTTCAGTTTTTTTTTTCGTTTTGTATTTCTTACAACTTATTTCAGATTTTTCATAGGGAGGAACGATGTTAGTTGCATTTGTAACATAATGATCAAAATAGCAATTTTACAAGGTTTAATATGTTTGGTAGAAATATGTCTGCGCATGTATACGTGCTGTGCGTCTTGTAACAGCTGCGAATTTGGCTTCGGTCTGGAAATCTCCAGACGCGGCCTCTAAATTTACAAACAGCAATTCGGATTATTTTTGCAAAATGTGTCGCGTTTAAATGTAACATAAACTTAAAATTATGCATTATGTAGGGGTGTGTGAATGTGTGTTTAGGGTAAGTGTGTATATATGTAGCTAAAGTATTGCACTATATAGTACTATGTATGTATAAATATGATAAACAATTTACATAAATTTTATATCAAAATTTAATTTTTTCTTATATACTTAAGAGTTAAACCCAAAAGCCTTTTTAATAAAATAGCTTGAAAAACTTTAGGACATTGAGCAAACCTTAATTAGACAAAGAAAAACCCACAGCTTAACTATTTGTAACTGGCAACTGGATACGCCATGGAATATATAGGGAAAAAGTTTTGCAAAACAGGAACATTTTAGTATTTTATTTAAAGAGAAAGAACGATAGAATCAGAGACAGATACAAATACAGATGCAGATAATGTGGGACAGAGCGAATATATTAAGTGTGCATTAGAACTGCATTATATGTTCTATGATATATGGATTGAGGGCACGGATATTGGTACCGTTCTTATTCGCGATAAAATCATTTTTACAAAACGGAATGTGATTCTTGCCTTATTGTAATTCATTCCACCGCATTTTCTGCACACTCGCTTAACAATCGCATTGTCCCTTAACAACTTTTAAGCCTCTAACATGACCACTAGGCTGGGCTGGAGCCCCTGGCGGGCAGACAGCTATCAAAATTCAAATCACAAATTGAATATATCCTGGCTTGGCAATGGCCGCAGCCAACTTTCAAAGCACAGCACTCAATTCACTCAAGTCTACTTCTGGCTGTCTGCCAGGTGGACATGGCATTAGCCACGCCCAGCCACCAGCGCCCGCACATCCGCCCGCTTTTATTGACGTCGATCGCCGGCGCGGGCAGCCGCATGCCGGGACTGTTGTTGCTCCTTGTCGCGCAGCTCCTTGATTGCGCCCACTGTACCGAACATTACCTTAGCGGTTAGCTGCGTGTGATGCGAGGCGCTGGGTTTGCTGCTGGAATTTGCGTTGGCGTCCCGATCCAGGCCCGCGTTTGCATTGGCGTAGGCATTCGTATAGGACACGTAATTGTTGTTTAAATCGCGACCGCAGCTGCACTGATGCGACATGTTGCACGTGTTCTACTTAGTTATAGAATCGACTGATCGATCACTGGCGACGACCTCAGATGTGGATGCCTGGATGTGGACTTCTTCTGCTTATTTGCTGCCAGCTCCCCAGCTGAACTCGCGGTATTAAATAGCCTTTGCCCAGTCAGAGTCAAACTCTTGCAGCAGTTGATCAGCTCTCTGTGTGTGGGTTGCTTGGTGAACGCGCGTGTGCACGAAACAAAACTCAAAGTAAAGTCGTTTCAGCTCCTCGTCGTCGTCGTCCGATAGTCGCTCACACTTTCACAGACTCACTAGAACTAATTTCGAAAAACTGTGGTGTTGTTTTTGTGGCGTTACCAGCCAGCCAGAGCCACAGCCACAGCTGCGACGACAGCGGCGCTGTCTGCGGCGGCGACGACGACGATGACGATGAGCGTTGAGTATCAAAGAGAGCGGACGAGAGCGTGAGTAGAGCCCGAGCGTCAACCCAAGCGTCAGCTGAGCGCGCGTGAGCCACATGGGAGCCAACTGAGTGCCAAAATAAAAAAGAAAAAATAAAAACTCGCTGCTGCTGCGATCACTGTTGTTGTTGTTGCTGCTGCTGCTTTTGGTGGTGGGCGCAGTGAAATGATAAATTTCTCTACACTTTGCAGTCCATCTACATTGGTCAACATCCACGCAAATCGGAAATAAATATTTTTCTGCGAATTTCAGGATGGAAAGTGCAGACTATTTTGACTGCAATAAAATAAATGACAAAGTAGTTAATTTTGTAAAAAGTATAAGTAACAAAAGTATATAGCTTAAACATGTATTGTTCTATTAGCATTTCTCATCTCGACTTTGTCAGCGTGCGTTTTTGTTAGGCCGGTAAAATTATCGAAATTTTTGTTGTTTTATATATTACATAGATAGCAGAAATTACCCATCAATATTACCGCTTTTTCCTTTGTAAATAATAACAAATTTGAATTTGGATAGCATGTACAGAACATAGTTATATGGTTGTGTTATTTTTTATGTTTTTCATATAGACGTCGACAACCTTTTCCCTCATTTGCAGGTCGAATATTCTAAAACCCCCTTTTGGTGATCACTATTTTCGCTAAAGGTAGCTTAAAAAAATCAAAGAGTGGTCTGTTTGGAGAAAAAAAAATAATCAAGAAAGTTTAATAAAACTATTAAACTTTGTCAGAGGCTGGACAATGGGTTTTTATTTTGACGTAGCATGAAATAATTGATTCAGTGTGCGACGTTGGAGATCGCGGATTGGGATGCTGCTGCAGCGATGATGACGTTGGCGTTCACGACGACGACGACGGCGGCGACGATGGCAGCGGCTTGCTAAGCTTTAGCCGTGAGCTGCGCGCGAGAGCTTTCTTGATTGCAGTGTAGTTTCTAATGGCCGATTCCCGCTGATTCCCATTCCCTGCCCCCTCCAGTTTAGCATGTAATTTGTGATGCCTGCGTCGACGCTGAGCTTGTGTAATCTTTTTGTAGTCGTAGTCGCCGTCGTCGTCGACGTCGGCGTTGTGGTCTTCGTTGTTTTTACGAGCGGCAGAAAATTGTGTTGTGTTTTTGCTTTTTATTCAATTTTGTTTATAACATTTTGCGAATTCCAAGCGCACGCTACACACAACAAAAGTAACAATTACGGCAATACCACAAAAAACTATAAGTGCACGCGCATGAGTTTGTATCAGGTGAAAATCAGTAAGCGCTGCAGCGTCTCACCTGTTGCCTTTCATATTCATACATTGCTGTTGTTATTTATTTTTTTTTTAATGATTGTTGTTGTTTTTGCTGGCATTCATCAGGTTTCATTCACCTTTTGGCAGCGACAGCGACAGCAGCCGCTCCAGCAGAAGCAGTCACAATATTGTAAAAATGTTTCCGAAGAAAAAACGTTTGCCTATGCGGCCGTGTCGTTTAGTTTACATAATTGGAATGCAAATAGGCAAACAAGTGCACGGCTTGAATTGCGCTGCCTGCCCTGCGGTGAGGCCGTGTTGGTTTTGTTGTTCTTGTTTAGACAGCTGCACCTTGCACATTGCATGCACATGTTGAGTGCGCATACGCAGGGTGGTGCAGACGGGCCCTAAAACGGAAATGCCACCACACCAATGTTGAACCTGACCTCATTTCCAGCAAGCAACAATTCTATGATTTCAACACAAGGCGCATTTCAAATGACATAAACAACAATCGCTGCGGTGACAGCGATGGCGATGCCAACGCCAAAGCCAAAGCCAAAAGTGACTGCGACGCTGGCAGCAGCGCATTCGCTTTCGATCATGTGGCCATATCACTTTCCTCCATTCACAAGCCACAGAGTGGAACTACCAGTTTTCTCCAAGAACTCCAAGTTGACCCATATACTTACAAACACACACATTCACAAATATAGAGACGGCGTGTCAGTTCCAGTGGGTGGGTGGCAGCGGTGGCACCAAGAATGCGAGAGCGCACAGAGTGAGACCGAGAGAATGTCTAACTGCTTAAAGGACAAGGAAAGAAAGAGGACAGAAAGAAAAAAGAGAGAAATACATATTTTTAAAGATAGAGTGAGTAAATAGACGAAGAGAGACGTCGAGAGAAAAAGAGAGCACAAGAGAGAGAGGGAGAGTAAATGCTGGCGCTTTGAAGAGTTCGAAAAGAAAGCGAAAAAGAAATTTCAATGCATTGAAGCGTTGTATGGATAACGCACATACATATACACGCATATTTGTATACGCATATACATATACACATCTGCACAAGCACGGACACGCTGGCGTTGGCTGCTCACCTACTTCTGGCCCTGCCATCGGCTCTGTCAGTTCTTTCCAAAAAAGTGTGTCACTCAGAAGAAACCGGCAGCAGTGGCTGGCGCAGCCGCAATCGCAGCACCGCATGAAAGAGAGGCCAGCAGCATTCTTTGCTGACTTTCTGCCACACACAGCTAATATGTTTACAATTACATAAATACACACACATACACACACGCTAACACCTTCTGTGCTTGTACACATGTAAATATGTAAGCACATGTAAATATCGCCTTTGGAGTTCTAATTATAATTGCGTACACATTTAAGCATATCATAAGTGTGCGTGTATATGAGTATCGATGCTGACTTTTAGCTCATGTTGTTGTTGATGTTTTTTTTAATATCCAACGCCACATAAGTTCATCTGGATCTCAAGTGCATTTTGTACAGCGCTGGCTTTTTCTCATGCGCCGAATCAATTAAAATCCAACAAAACTTGCTGTGGGAAAAATCGACGAAAACCTGCATAAGAATCGTGATTTTATTTATTTTTTTGTCATCGTACAAGTACTAAAAATGTTTTCTTTGTCGTTTATTTTTCTGCTTATGCATTTTCGGTGGGAAGTTAATGCAGGTGTATGTGTGTGTGTGTGTGTGTTTGTTGGAGTAGGTGTGCGCTAAACTGGTTGGAAGCTAGCTGCCTAGTTGGCGCGGGTTTGTTGCCCCCACAGCCACAGCCATATCCAAAGCTACAGCCAAAGCTGCAAATGATGATTTATTGCTGAACTTGTCTTCTGGAACACTAAATTGAAATTACTTGAGTTTAGGGCGCATTGGCCTGCAGCTGTTTTGGCAACAGCCATAAGATAGTAACACACGATATCCTCGAATCGCTGACAGTGGCAGGCGTAATAGTAACAGAAACAGCAACGGTGGCGGCGGCGGCAGAGAGCAAACATATGCCACGGGGCTCGCCAAATGATTCGAATAGCGCTCGGACCGCTGGGAAATTTATTAACCTGTTCCGGTGTGCAACGCTGCGACCTTTGAGATTAGCTTGCACGCTCTGAGCATTTAGCTAGGCCGCGTGCTGGATATGGATATGTCATGCCATGTTCGTCATGAGCAGTCAGATATTGGTGCTAAGATTTATGATCCGTTTGCCGTGGTGAATAATCCGTTGGGCCGGCACCTGGTCTGCACAGGGCTGCCGATTTTGAATTGGAGCGCTGCCTGTGGGTGAAGCAGGCGCTTCCTGCAGCGAAATACGAGCAACTGATGGCTGTCATCATTTGACGTCATTACTGCACTTGTTCTTCTTGTTGTAGCGGTTGTTGCTGTTGTTACAATTATATTTTATTGGAAGCCATAAACACACATATTTCGTCTCGCAAATCTCAATTCAATTTCAATGCTCATCATGATTTAGGGCATTTATTTCACGCTGTGCGCTCTCTCGTCAAATGGCGTTACAAATACACGCAAGTGCCAATTAGCGACAACAGCCGGGCCAGCAGCATCGAGACTCGTGTCCTGGGCTGGCTGGGCTAATTCCAAGCTTACACCAATATTTTCTCAATATTTTGCATTAGCCAGCGATTTTTGTGTTACGTAGTTAAACTATTTACTATTAAGCGCTCAGCAGGTGGCGAATGTTGATGGCTTCTAGTTGGCAATTTGCCTTTACTGAATTGCTATTAGGAATTACCAGGACATTTCCTTAAGTATGAAAGAAAAACAAATTGGCCAATTCCTTTTAGTTGCTCGCTTTATTTGGTTGTTATATTACGATACACTGTTATCAATGAAAGTAAGCATAAAAGGATATTAAACCTTGCATACAGGCATGTTGGATATACTTAACACTCAGAAAAGATTGTTGTTGTTTGATTGAAGAGTATTAGATCACAGAGATGCGGAATTGATTTATCGTCATCGTCGTTTGGCTTAAGTTAAGTTTGTATTAAATAGTATTTAAATACAACTACCACAAAATTATTGCTACCGATTTTATAAGAAATTGAATCATTTCGATGAAATATTTCCTCAATATACATGTCTTTATATAAATAAAACCATTTACTAACCGACTTTAAAAGATAGTATATTTAATTTTCTTAGATTTTCCTAAAAATTTTATTGAATGCGTGTTTTGGAAAATCATCTAGGCGGATAGCAGGGTTCCAATGTCCTATGGGTGAAAGATCAAGTTTCCGGCGATCCCTTTCAAACTCATTTCCAAAGAGAAAAATAATTTATAAATACGTCTTTCAGCGATTTTGGAAAATGGCATAACGCTTTTTCTTCTAATGTAATGCATATTTAAGACTCAAGCTAAAATATTATTTAAGGAAAGGATTATTCAAATATTTTAAACTCATATGTAGAACTTATAAAATTTGCTTGAAGCCAATCACACGATTTTTCTTTTCCCAACTTTTCCCAATAAAGGTTCAGAAAGACACAAACAAACAAGAGAGCTCTTGTCGGGGTTAACCGATGAGGAGCTACCCTGATTATTTTATTTTTATGGTTTTACGATCTAGACTCCCCAAATTTGACATATAGCTTTTCGTTAAGTATATACAGATCTGGTGTATATCTTTGCTAAAGCTTGAGCAAATAAGATGACGGTTCAGGGTATTTGCTAGTCGGGCACTCTCGACGATTATATGTATATATTGATATATATAGATGGACCCGTTCATGGACGCAGATGGCCATATCGACTCAGCTCGTGCTGATCCAGAATAAATGTGCTTTAAGCTTTTTCGGAGATGTTTCCTTATGCATGTTACATTTATTTGCACAAAAGTATACCCATTTCGGTACTCATTCAAATTTGATATATTTTCAAGTTTATACTTGCGGCAGACAAAGTCCTAACATTTTTGGACATACACACTGAGGGCAGTTGTTAATCCATAATCCCCCAATACGGAAGGTAGACTACTCCAGACCTCCTTTAAAGATTCACGCTGAAACAAATCGCAAATAATCTTAATCCTAAAGTCTTTTTGAAACAGCCTTTGCCATTAAACTGTTAAGTATTATTATTACACAGTCAACAGAGTATGGCGCAGTAAGTGTCACCCGAGTGCAGCTTTGCGTATTGATTTTTATGAAATTTGTGAACAGAAATTTTGTAAAATAAAATATATATATATATCGATGGGAAATCCTTAATGTTAGTAAATGTAAAGACTACGGCATTTTCAAATCCAAATTTAGCGGCTTTCGTTTTTAGAATCTTTAAAATCTGATTTAAAAGCCCCCAATATTTGTATTTTTTCTCTCAGTCTCTAGGATCGGCGTGCTTTTGTAAACGTGGAGACGGACAAGATGACAGACGATAACATCACAGCTCTCTGGCGTGATCAGATTTGCCTCATTTTTAAAAGGTACTGGATACAACAGTTTATAAAACATTTGTTCAACATATGTTCTCTTGAATATTTGGCCACAACCTTAAAATTATTAGATATTCTGTAGTTCCCGCCTGGAAGTAGACTACGTTTTATAATAATCATCGTTCAACCAGGCAGATAACCACCCACTGTGTTTCTTATAGACCAGATGGCATTTGAAAATGTTAAACGGTGGTCGCCAAAGGCAGCCGCAAGACCAGTGTCCTGACCGGGAACTTTGTGAAAAATATAAAGGCATGCTGCGCAGAATTCCATGGCGTTTCGCTTTTGAAATGTTACAGTTCCAGTTAAGGGATGCACACACACGCATATACAGAGTCTGGCAAATACAAGCGGGCAAACAAATAGCATGCATGTCATTTAAACTGTCAGCTGACTGCCGCCTTCTTGAAAGCAAAGCAAAGGGAAAGCAAAGGAAAGTAAAGAAAAGTCGCTGCTAGGCAGGCTGCGAGCTCCCTGCATTTGACTAATGCGCAGCTCAGCTAGTTGACAATTTTCAATGAAATTGAGAAATAGTTGGTCACATATTTACTCCCATGTACGCAAAAACATATATGTGTGGGCGCCGCTCTAAGGCTGTGTGGTGGCCGCTTAAAGCCCTAATGAGGTTGACACATGCTGCAGACTTTGTTAGCTCCAAAGATATATTCTGCTCAACCTCAACTGACTTCATAATGGCAATCCGGTTTGTAACTCTGAATTGAATTCTTAAAATCATAAAATGTATTAAAAATATGATTATTGCAGAATGCACGAACTCATGTGCGCATGGTATTTAAAATTTAAAGTCTCTTTCCTTCATAGTTTCTGACATCGCCAGAGAGACAAACATGGCCTAATCAACTCATCTTGATCAAGAAAATATATATTTTATGCCTGTTACATACATATGCACAAAACCATTATACTCTTTTTTTTATCCATTTTGAATGAGTACAGGGTACAAAATAAGCATGCTTAACCGCGAAATAATTGTATCACGTAAATTATTTTTTATTCGCGGTCCGTCGATGACTTTTCGCGCTTTTTGGTCAGAATCTGTGTAGAAAAACTGCAACAACAATGACTCTGTCAGTGGGCATGTATTTTGTTTCACCGCTGCAATTGCCACCGCCAAATCAGCGCAGAGTCATGGCCACTTGTTACATCCTGCGAACGATGGCGACGAAGGCAACCACGGTACGGTCGGGCAACAAAGGCGCTGCGTGTTGAGAATCACTCGCAAACTCACCACACTAGCCAGCACACACACATTGTCGTCATCGGCCGCGACTGTTGCTGTTCCCGTGGGCGTTGCGCTGATAACTGCGCGCGAAAGTCCCTCGGCCTGCCCATATAAGAACGAACGCTTCAGCGACTGTGGATTCAAAAGTTAACCGACATTTGATCTGTCAACGTGCTGTAGTACGGCAAGCAAAAAAATTGCCATAATCGGGAAAGGACCACTTCAACATTTTGGATTTGGAACGCGTTTGTGTCGAATCGTTAAAGTTTAGCAAAAAAAAAACCACAGAACCTTAATCTAAAGTCTTGAGTACTTCGCAAATCCGCCAACAAGAGTTTACTTTATTAAAATGTAAGTTGTTAAATATACAATTTGTTTTCAATATATTGTAGATGCTTGAAAGATGAAGATAAACCAGAATTTTAGTTTTTGACAATTTTTGAAAAATACAGTTTTTAGGTAATAAATTTAAATTAAGAAATTGTTATGCATGCGATGTTAATAATCTAAAATCTATCTCCAAGGAGTTAATTAACATAAAGTTATTAATCACAGCTCAAAACTGGGCACTCTAAATACATGAATTTTTAACAGATGTTTCATTTAGAGATTTAGGCGTGCACCAAGAAAGAGTTTTGGAAAATCGGAGCTAAGATTATTCTAGCTAGGTTGAATACATAATCGGTTTCCAAGTCCTCTAATTGCGCAGTGGAAAAGTGTTCGAATGTCTATTTGTAAAGTGAGATTGTGACATGTATTTTTAAATAATGTTTAAAACATCAAATAAGACTAGTAGCTCAGCATTAAAAGCCAGATTAGTTATTAAATTCCTACTAAAAAGAAAGGAGAACAATTTTTTGTTAGATTGAGCGTCTTCAGGCTTGCGATTAAAATAGGGTGGTAAATATTATTAATTTTTTTTTTATTTTATCTACTATAATTTTTTATATGTCATATTATCTCTCTAAACTTATTTGCTTGATTGCGCGTTTTAAGGTAAATGAATAATTTTATTTATTTGCTATAGTTTCTTATACTAGTATTACAGTTATCACTCTAAACGGTTTTATAAAACTAATTTATTCTTTATGCGACTAACTTAAAAATGATTTAAATGTTGTTTTTACAATGACCATTGTGTGAAAAATGCACAGATCTAGTTTGAAGAAAATGCCGGTGTAGAATCTTTTTTTTAAAAATGTAAATTTTCAATTAAGGTTACATTTTATTCGCCATTTCGGAACTTTTTTCGTTAGTAAAAATTGCAGAATTCCAAACACAAATTTAATAAAGTAATAATTAAGCTTGGTTATTTTGAAGTTTTTATCTTAAGCACAGCAGCAGTTGTTCAAGCCCTCAGAAGTATGCAATTTTATTTGGTTGGAATGTTGTTTGTCAAATGATCTAAAGAAAAGCAACCCAAATCGAAAACAATTTTCATCGCCAGGCATATCAAAACAAATTTGATTATATGAAACGCTCGCAGCTAAAAGTGACATACGAGCAAGGGATCCAATAGGTGACATGGTAGATGGAGAGCATGACAATTGAAGACGTTCGAAATCACAAACAAAAAAGCCCAAAGACAAGAGACAAGCCTCAATCAAATTGCAATTAAATAAATAACGGAGAGCCCCACAAGCTATACCCAAAATATTAAATAAACAAATCAAAGGACATTTGTTGATTGATGGCAAAGGATATTCATTGGAGGAAAGCTGGGTGTGGGAATAAAGATGTGGGATGGCTTTTTCAGGCATATGTTTCGGTTGCTTCGAAAATAGAATATATATATATGTAGATATACATTTTTAAAATATTTATTTACAAATTCAAAGAAAACACAATGTAATTGGGCTCCAAACAAAAGTTGCTCCAAGCAGTTGGCCATCCCGAGCGGTTGCTTGGTCCCATCGCCCTTTCATTAGATGCCTAGTCCGTCGCGTAACCGCCATAACTTGTTGTAAAGAAGTTAGCCACTTCATTACCTGAGCATAACTTAATTAAGCAGCTTACCGAGGGAGCCGTTCCGAAGCAGCTGTCTTACCTTATTCTGCTTTCAATTTAAAAAAGATGTGCACAAACTGCGTGCGTTTCAATTGTGCACGGCTAATGTTGGCCTCAATTGCGCAGCTTCACCCGCGGCCAAGCTACGGCTTTTCTTCTTGCATGTGTGGCGTGGGTGTGGCTGTTAAGGTGTATATCTATGAGCAGCGTACATACATATGTATATTCTATCAAAGACGTCAGCTGAAATTGTTTGTTGGCTTTTGCTTTGAAGCAGCTAAGCTGCTCATATCCTTTGGCCCATCTACCTTTTTAGTCAATTGCCATGGCCAATTTGCGATGCATTGCAATTCTTGTGGCCGTGGCTGGAAAGTTTTCATCTTAATTAGAAAACAGCAAAGACCATTTTGAATTTCCGCTGCATTTTCGCTTGCGGACAATCTAATCGCCGCGGCGGATATGAGAAAGCCAGAGAAACAGGACCAGGCCACGAGAGTTGTGACCATAAATTCATAAACAGATAATGCCGCCGTCGGCTTCGCTTATAAGTTCTTATTTGTGCCGGGCGAAAGGTTTACGGTTTGCAATAATACGGCGACAAACAAGTTTTTATTGTACAAATAGCTGATGTGTCCGAATATGGGGCTTTACAAAAAGTTTTGCTTTGAAGATTTATGATTACGGTGTAAATGTGCATGTCCAAGTCCATGTCCCCGATGACGCTTGATAAAGTCCAACGAATGTGACGACTTTCCGCCTATTATCAACACAGCTGCTTTTATTGTGCGGCGTGGAAAATGCGCAGCTGCCGCTGTCACGATTGTAAATCATGGCCGGGTCGCTTCTGCCCTTGGCTGCCTCGCGGTGGCGTGGTCTGCGTAACCTGTTGCATGATTTGTTGTCGTCGCTGCTGTAGCTTTTGCATACGCTAGCTGCAATTTATGGCTGCCAGCGCAGCGATTTGCCATTTCTCACATGTAGATCTCTATGCCCCAAACCGTGCGCTTCAATTAATAATGCACGCATTTTGTTTGCACATCATTATGTGTGTCGGCGCGCACTGGGGATTTGCTTTGCCATCAATTGGCATTGGTATTGGAAAGTAAGCCTCGTGGCGCTTCTACGCATTAAATTGTGCAAAGAAGAAGCAGCTGCGCCAGAAGGCCAAAAAGTTGAAAAGTCGTGGGCTAATTGAAAACTGTCCTGTCTTAGGCGGCAACCTCATTTGCCTGTGCAAACAATAAGCTTTTTTGTTGTTTTTTTATTTTTTTTTTTTAATAGAAAACTACAATAACACTTGCCGGCTTCTCCCTTGCCCACCCAGTACCAAACCCCTTCAGCTGCTACGTGCGCTGAGTGTTAAGCACTTGACTTGAGCATTGCATCCTCACAGAGCAGTTGGGGCGACCAGGAAGCGGAAGTGCAGGCAGCCAATGCAAACAGAACAATAAGATGGCGACATATTCCATTATGTCCTGTTATGTACTTTCAATTACGAGTCTTGGAACGTCACATTTACGGCAATGACAATGCCTTCTTATTGGCAGTGCCTCAAAGCTGATGGCATGACTGACACTCTGGCTCCGACTCAGACTCGGGGCGAAGTATATTTTCAGTCCGTTTATTGCCTGTTAATGGCGCCAAACTAAAGCCAGTGACAGCTGCTGGCTACTAAAATTTGCTTAAGTTTAACAGTTGGGCAGCTGGCAAACTTAATTGTCGCACCGTTCACGGATTAAGCTGTGCATAACACGCACTCAGCAATCTTCAATGACAAGGACATTGGCATAGCAGAGCCAGAGGCCACCGTCAGCGCAAGAGCAAGCTTCTTTGACGTGCCAAACCTAATTTTAATGGGTTCAAGACTCAACACAAACTCCTGCGTACAGCTTGCAAGGCCAGCAAAAAAGCTGTCTGCTGCATTCTGGGCTGAAAAGTCATTCCCCTAGCACCCGCCCACGGGATGAAGGCACTGAAAAGCTGGACCACATATTTGAGCGTACCATTGTGAATTTCTGTTTATATTTTTTCGCTTGTCGCCTGCCTGTCAAGGCGCTTAAATTTGTTGCTATTTGACATATGTATGTTTGGGTCCGTATTTGTTTTTTGTATATGCTAGAAAAATTCCTGTCGATTCTGTAGCTTATACATATATGGCGGGGTATACTAGCTGTGTGATTCAGGAAATTTGAGTGCTATAATTGGAAATATTTTCAATGCTTGCATGATTTTTCTATTTCCTTTTTATTCTTAAGAGTAATGACAAAAAACTAATACATATTTAAATTTAAAATTAAAATATTTTTTATTGTGTTTATCAAATATACAATTTTGAAAAAATTTAAGAAATTTTTGTGCAATACAATGTTAGTGAATGCTAATAACTTGATAAATTTTTTATTTACCGAAGAGATCTCGAACTTATGGCATTTCAATGAAAATAAAAATATGTGTTCGGACCAAAAATAATTTAAATAAAATTATGTATTTATGCCAAGAAATGAAATGATTAAATTAAATTGTTAATTTCTTTTTTTTATGCTCATATTTAATTTGCATACTGCTAAAAAGGGTATTAAATTGAGCAAACTTGGCATTTAAAGGCAAACTATCGGTGGAAAAAACTGTACTTGGCGATTACGAGCTCGCTTTTCCTCCTTGCATATCTGCAGAGCTACAAGGGCATTAAATCTTCGGGTTGTCGAAGATAGCCGGAATTTCTTGTTTGTGACACTGCAGTCGATAAGTTTCGACTTGTTTCTATTTATTACATGCGTAGAAAATGTATTTGTAAAAACATCTATGCCGACAGTTGCTTGGCAGCAGAAAAAATGAATTGATGCTTGAACCGCCTTTTGCACATCTTACAGATAGGGATAGAAAGATAGAAGACACGTTCCCGTGACATGAATCTTGTGCACGCCCAACTACTGCTGCTGGCGCTTTACTGCCTGGGCTACGTTTGCTGCTCTCCGGCTATCGGCCATGAGGCACGGAACCAAGTCACAAGCGATGGTGACGGCGAAGGCGACAATGATTTGCTATTGAGTGCTGGTGAAGATGTGCCAGAAAATGGAGGCGATATCGATAAGCGAGTGGAACGCTACGCCTTTGGGCTAGGTCGACGTGCCTATATGTACACCAATGGAGGCGCCGGTATGAAACGCCTACCGGTTTATAATTTTGGACTCGGCAAACGATCGCGTCCATACTCCTTCGGTCTGGGAAAGCGCAGTGACTATGATTACGACCAGGAAAACGAGATTGATTACAGGGCGCTGCCGCCTGGTTTCATGGCAGCTGCGGGTGAGTAGTCCACAGGGGTGCTCTGCTTAGGATCATTGAAAAATTCCTTTTTCTCATTTGCAGGCAGGGCTAGTCGACAAAATAAGCGTACGACGCGCCCTCAACCCTTTAACTTCGGCCTGGGCAGGCGTTAAGACCGCCCACCCTAAAGAGTGCACGGCTGTCATCCCACTTCCAGTCGGATGCTAGTTGTGAGCCGCTAAAATAACTTTTAACTATTATATCAAATTGCTGTTACATGGCTCAGACTTTCACAAAAGTCAAACTTAAATAACATTCAAAAACTAATCTAAAGCTGAAAACTTGATGTGGACTTCGTTCCTTTATAAATAAAAAGACAACTTTTAAATTTTATTTCTTCAATTGAGGCGTTAAACTGCAGCAACATTTTAGTTTAAACTATATTATATAAATGCAAAAAATAACAAACAAAAAAAAATGAAAAAAACAATGGCGTGTGCAATTGAAATATGAACAGAAATACAAAGAATATATTCAATTATATATACATATTCGATCTAATCAAATTTAAATAAATATATTATACATGTACATTTTAATGGGGTATTATTATAAAAATAATTATTTATATGTATATGTATACTGGGCACTCTGTCTCCCACATCGAGGAGGATCAATCGTTGTAACCGAAACGCGTAAAACCAAAACATTAGTACCAAGTATATTCTATATAAGAACGAATACAATATATAACACATACTTGAATATGTATATGGCAGATTTATGTAGCAAAGTGATTATTTAAATTTAAATATATGTATTTGTTTTGTGAATATATTTCAATAAATATCAACCTAAGCACTTAAAACTGTGCAAACAACGTTATGGCAATTCAATGAACTATTAATAAAAAAATTTTCGTTTCTTTTTATTTCAAAACTTTAAAAATACAAATTAGTACATAAAAAACAAATATTAAACACGCTTATAACATTTAACTATCGATTAAAGATTTTATGATTACCCTTAAGCTAAATAATGTCAATCTTTAGTTTGCACAAAATGGTGTCAAATGCAAACACTGATGATATAAACGTATAGGGTCTACCCCGTATTATACCAAAGTCTGGTTCTAGGCTGGGCAATGAACGGGGCAAGAAATTGGCCATCTGCTGTCCGTGACGACCAGTAACAGAGGCCAGCGGCTTGCGCGCATTCTGCTTCATCTTCTCCTTGCGGGCAACTAGTTTCTTTGTTTCGCGCACCATGTAAATAGCTTCCGTGTTGGTCATGTAGTTGTGAATAATCTTTATGGAGCACGAAAGGATGTGTTATTAGTCAAGAAACAAAAGCTAAACAACAGTTCCCAACTAACCCTTCGTTTCTTGGGGCAATGGGCAAATACCCATATCAGCGTACAGAGTGTGTTGAAGATTTCGCTGTCCTTGTCGCACCAGCGCAGTAACATTTGGGCAATGGTCACCAGGCCGCCCTCCTGGAACGTGTTTACAGTAGTGCTGTTGTACCGTGCCAGATTGAGAATGATGCGGCTGCATCGCTCAATTAGCTGCTTGTCAACCTCTGAGCGAATTGCCTGCGCCATTATTCCATAACAGAAGGTCGACATGAACTCCGAGCACCACATAAGCAGGTGGGGCACTGTGCGGGAGAGTCGGTCTGCGAACAAATTATATTAAATAGTACAAACTGGCAAAAAGCGACTGAAAAATCCACTTGATTACCCAGCTGATTTAGTACGGCTAACGCATCCGACGCAATGAAACGACCACGCAGAATACGTACTGAGTCCTGCACTTTAGCACGTACCGAATTGATGGCTGTCGCCTCCTGTCGAAGCTGCAAAAGACGCCGCCTTATGGCCAATAATCCAGCGTTCCTTTGCCGTCTGCGTGTGCGATAGCCACGCCAGTAGCGCTGTATAACCTTGGCTGCCCGCTTTTGACGGAGATACTCAACCATTTCGGGAGTCATTAGCGCCTGAAAACGCTTACGTGCCAGGAAGCCACGAGCACGGGACTGGAAATCTAAAATGGAGCGTCTAAGCAGCCCGAAATGTTCCTGCTGCACCAGCATCAATCGTTTTCCACGGAACTTTTGCTGCAGATGTACCGTGATCTTACGAAGCTGCAAAAACTCTCTGCGCTTTTGGCGCATGCTGTGTCTGGCGCGAAATATGCGCTGTACCCAAATAGTAAATGACAGAAGCTGCCGATACTGCGCCCTTACAGTGCGCATAGCTTGGCGGGCACGGTACCGCCGTTGTAGGATCAAAGCGGCCTCTCGTGCTTGCTGGAACTGATGGCGCTGCTGCCTCATGAGCAGCATTGACCGCAGACTTCTTTGTAACAGACGGACCTTCTCTACAGTCTGCAGGAAGTGCTGGCGCTGCCAACGAGCTTTCAATGTGGCTCGCCATTTACGCTGCAAGATTACTGAGCTGCGGCGCATACGTTGATAGCCTCGTCGCACGAGTCGCATCTGCTTCAGACTACGCCACCAGATCTGAATGCGAGTAGCTGCCCACCGTTGTTGCTGATAGTTATTGCGTGCAGAAATCATGGCCAGTTTTGCTCGGTATCGTTGCTGGATTCGGACGACTAGTCCTCGTTGCTGTTCATAGATCTGACGCTGCTTTCGCATGGATAGCTGAGCCCGATACCGACGCTGCATATGGATTACCGCCAGCTTTAGCTGTTGGTATCCGTCCTTCTGCCGGCGCATCGCCGATTGAGCACGATAGCGTCTCTGTACTGTAATAACTGTTTGACGCAGTTTTAGGTAGCCCTGCCGCTGATCCTTTCTAAGCAAGTGGTTGCGCCAGTGCATCTGCAGGCAAGAGACAGCAGCCTGAGTGCCGTGATACTTGGCCCGCTGGAAGCGCATTGCTTTGTGTGCACGGAAACGGCGCTGCATAAATACGGCCACTTGGCGCAGGCGTTGGTACTGCTCCCGCTGCGTCTGCATTAATTTCCGTGCTTGCCAACGCCTCTGCAACACAAGAGTTGCATTTCTAAGCTGGATAAACTCGCTACGCTGCTGACGCATCTGCATACGGGCGCGATGCTTGCTTTGCAACAATGTCGTGTAGACCTTTAGTTTATGATAGCTGTGATACTGCCGACGCATCTTCAGCGTTGCTCTCCAGCGTGATTGCAGGTTTATAATGCATTGGCGCTCCTTGGCATAGTTACATCGTGCTGTCAGCATATTAAGACGTGCCCGATAGCGTTGCTGCAGTACCAATGTGGCGGTTTTCAGATTCAGAAATCGTTGTCGTTGCTGGCACATCTGAAGACGAGCGCGATACCGGATCTGTAGCAATATTGTGGACGTTTTCAGCTTTCGATAATTAGCAAGCTGACAACGCATCTCCAGCGTTGCTCTCCAACGGCGTTGAATGTTTATGATGCATTGAAGTTCATATAAGTAGCTGCGACGTGTCTGAAGCATCTTTAGGCGCGCGCGATAGCGTCTTTGTAGCACCAGAGCGGACTGTCGCAGCAGCTGGAACTGATCCCGCGTGTGCTGCATCAGCCACTTTTTACGCACACTTTGCTGCACAAAGATAATGAGTTGTCGTTCACGAATATAGTGTTCTCGCTGTTTTTTGGCCAATCGATAGGAGCGCCAACACATCTGTATGCAGGCGGCAGCTGCATTATGTTTTTGATCACGTTGCAGACGCGCTGTAGTTGCAGCAGCCAGCAGTTTTCTGGAAAACATGCGACGTCGCCAAATGCGCTGCAGAAATATCGCCGATTCTCGTAAGTGGAGGAACTGTTGGCGACACAGACGGCCCTGGCGATTGGCACGCCACCAGAGCTGAATTCGGACAATGCTTTGATAAATTTGAAAAAGATGCTTCTGGGCCAGATAGCGACGCGTGTACTTCTGAAGAACGATGACGGCTCGTAGGCGCTCCACTCTGTACAGTTTGGCATACTTGCGCATCTGGTGTCCCCGGAACACGGCCTGTATACGAATGGCGGCGCGTTCGCGAATGCGACGCCGAATAAAAACATGTAGCCAGCGACGGCGCCACCACACCTGTAAGACACGGGCGGCAGCATGAAACTTGGGCGATCGGAATTTGTAGCATAGCTGCCAAAGAAGGGAAAGTGTCTTCTCCCGATAGCCATCCACTATATCTGCTGCTGAGATGTCGCCACTCAGCTGGAAATCCGCATCACGCAGAGCGCCCAAAGCAAGCTTTACATTAAAGATACGTTGCAGCCTGGAAATGGCAGGAACGCGCAACTGCTGGGTGAGATCGTCACGCAGCAGAATTACCTCCATTACACGCGTAAGCCGAACGCCGTCACGTAGATCTACGGCTAGGTTGTTAAAGGCATAGTCAAACTCATCAAGGAAAGTCTGCTTGTGTTTGAGCACGTAACCCAGGCGGCGCAGTTCACGGGTTATGTCACCAATGTTGGCTAGCAACTCTGACGAAAAGCGCAGCAGAATATCCTTAGTCTCCTTGTGCGGCGACTTCTTGACGAACAGACAGGGATTGTGCTTGATGATGCGACGTTGTTTGGCTAGATCGAGGAACAGTAGTAGGAAGAATATTTTTTGTAGAGTGTGCTTTTTAATGGCCTCCGCATATTCCTCGGTTAGCGTATAGGCCTTGCTGTACTTTTGCTCCTCGAATTTGTTGCGAAACAGGCGGTTTAAGATAAAGGTGCTGAGACCCACGATATCGCGGTTCGATTGAAGATGCAGCTTCTCGCCAAACACTACCTCGAGGCCCAGACGCAGCCAAAGTGGATTAAAACACAGAAGCAACTCCAGTATAGTGCGCTGCATGACCACATCAAGGTGCAAATTTCGATCGGTGCGTATGCGCAGCGCTTGCTTTTGCACATATACAGCTACCTTGGAACAGGGCAAGCGCATTTCTTCACTGAAAAACAACTCAACTGCGGCCCGACGCAGCGATTCTAGACGGAACTTGGTCAAATAGTTCATCGATTGCTCCTCCTTGGTGGGTGCCAGCGACAGCTCCTTGTTACGCACCTCGTTAAACAGTTTGCCAACGTCAATTTTGCTATTTGTATCTGCATCCAGATCGGCGGGTATGCTAACGAGTGCATTTAACCATTTTTTAAAGTCCGCCTGGTGCCGCTCTACAGCCTGCTCATCTAAATACATAGTTGATGCCAAAAAAGGATCAGCAGTCGTAGTTGCAGCAAAGGGATCCGGATTAATGTATGTTTGTAAATACAGGTCCGAATCATAGAGTTTAACGGTAGGTTTATCTCGTGTCTTGCGCGGTGTTGCTGGCTTTTTCAGGAGCGACATCGTTTGGGCCAACTTAAACTTCTTGGGCTGACCATGGGACCAAACCTTAGCGCTCCGCGCTGAAGCGTTGGCAGGTGCCAGACTGCCACCCTCAAAGCGCTGCCGCTTGGGCGGAGAGATGGTTAGTGTCTCATTGCGATGCAGTGATTCATTGCTGGGCGCATCTGAGAAGCTCAGCTCATTCGAACGTCGCTTGTGCCCAATTATGCCGCCGTTGAGTTGCTTTACTTCTTTATCCTTTAGCACCTGCGCACTGGGGCTGGCTTGCCGTGTTTTACGACCCACTTCGTGCAAATTGAAACGACTTGATTGTGCTAGAATCTCGCATTGATTGAAAAGCATATCGTGTTGGGACAATACGCTAGTCTCACTGCTGAAAGAGCTATCAAGGGACGGAACTATCACTTGCTTTGGCGCTTGCTGCGGCGGCGGTTGCTGTTGTTGATAGTAACGGTTCTGTTCAATGGAACGAAGCTGCAGCATTTCATTAAGATTCGGCATGGAGCCCTGAATAGCAATTTTTGTTTGCGGCGACAACAGTGACAGATTCGACATAGATTCCGAGTACTTTCGCAGCGGCGAGCCTACAATATTTATATCCCGTTTCAAGTCGTGTACTTTGCTCTTTGGAGGTGAGCAAATCTGCATATTGGGAGGACTGGCATCCTCTTCACGTATGCACGCTAAAGCACGTGTTTGAGTCGCATGAACGATGGTTGTCGTCTTATTCAGAACTAGCGTTGGCGTTTGCAGCATCTGATCTGCGCGCGTACAATCTAAAGTGTCCACGGATGTGTTCATTGTATCTGAATGTTTTACATCGAATGTTTTGTTAACAATGACTTGGCCGCTGGTCACGTTGTATTCCTCGTCTAGTGCAGACACGAGCCGACGTGGCCGCAAATCGTTGCTGGAGATGTATGTATGAGAGTCTTTAATGCTTACTGTTGGAGTCGGCCAGTCAGCCAAATTATCTGGCATATGAGCTGATGTCGTCTTCTGCGTGTTCTCGGTCAACGGCGTGAATTGCATATTATCAATTAAACTAAATATATTTGCTGGAGTCAAGGGGCTAACATTCTCCTTGCATTTGCGCGCCTGTGGCGAAATATAAGGTTTAATTTCGGATGCATCGCGAGTAAAAGGTTCTGCTTTGTACACGTTGTGCTCGCTTAGCGGCGCTTTTGTTTCGGACGCTCGTGCAACTCGTGCAGCCGGCACATTGCGCCAAGGCAGTTTGGCAGTTGTTGATGCGGCTGCAGCCACATTAGACATACGCTTCTTCTGTTTTACAGATGCAATATGGTTTTTATGAGTCTTGTTGCTACCAGTTGGCGACTTTAGCTGCAGTGTCTTGCCCACTGTAGGAAATTTGCGAGTAGACTTCAGGTAGAAAAGAAATAAAAACAAAAAAAACGGGGGATGAATCCAGATGTTAGCTCGGCAGCGAAGCTTAGTATGGCTTACCCTTACAGGCTGGTGGCTCTTAGATTTAAGTATAATCATTACGTCTTTGCGAAAGTTGCGATTATCCAGCAGCTGTAGCGTTTCTTTGCAAGCAATTTCCAACTGTGGAGTCCATACCAACTCCATGGACACCTCATCGCGTGCCGGCACCGTATTTTCCATCCACTCCAGGCTGAGATTATGCTCCTCTTTGATGGCCTTGCTTACTTTGACCTATAAACGTATGAGGTAAGCAGTGTAAGCATTGCCATGGCATTGATCAAATAAACTTGGGTGTCCAAGTTGCCAGGCCGACGACTAGTGACGGCTGGCTGATCTATATCTGCGTCTGTTGCAAACTAACCTTAATGTCGTCGTCGCTAGGATTAATGACGCGCACAACGCGTTTCGCAGTTTTGGTAATGGGCACATCCTCGAATTGCACAATTGCCTTGGCCGAAAATGGCGCCATCACCACAACAGCAGGTTCGCGACCCTCAATGCGCTTCTTTTGCTTAAGACGCGACGGAGTCACAGTAATCTACATTTAAATGATAGACACACATTTATTACGATTCCTTTGTTTCATATGCGAACCAACCTCAAAGGCGCTCATTTTGATGCAGAATAAACTAGTCAATCCTCGTCGCAAGCAACTAAAACTAACAACAAACAATTAACACACTTGACGAAATAAACAAATCTTAACAGGAAAAAATCAACACAATTAACAATATTTTGAGTCCGACGCGACTATCAAAATGTAGACTCGAAATAAAGCGCCGTCGACGCCGTTGCCATTTTGAAAACAGCTTGCTAGGGTTGCTTTCGCATCTGAGGCGTTTTGGTATTATTTAGAGCGAATTGCTGAAAAGCGTCAACTCTGTTGTACTAATGTGAATGGCAAATGTCAGATTGGCGGTACATTCAAAACGCACTAGTTTCTTTTTTACATTTATTTACAAGTCCAACAATAAAACTTAAGCATAACTGCGAAGCAAATATGAATTATATTAGTCTGCTGGGCGGCAAAAATTGTGGACGTTGAACCGACTGGTCTTCGCCTACCGCCGTTTCAGCATACATATTCTTAAGGTAGCCAGGAAAAGGTGTTACCGCATCAAACTCCTCGCCACCATCGTCATCCGGTGGTTCGACTGCCACAAAGGATATGGCAAATCCGCGCAGTGAGTTGCTCTCGTCCGTTTGAAACTTCAATAAAAGCGTGTCCGAGTTGGAAACAATAATAGGCGGTTTCCGTTTGCCGCAAAATCGGCCATGTATAATATTCATAGCGTTGCCCTCCTCGGTGACTTCAAGAAAATCATAGTCACAGCGCTCAGAGAATTCGATTTCAAAGTGAAGAAACTTAATTTTCACGCTGCTATCAGGATCAGCCTCAATGCGCCAGTCGCAGTACATGTTGCGCTTATATGGCCGGCTCCCGTAACGCGGATGTGAGTAGAAAATCTGGGAATGATTCGTGGCACGCAAGTAGCCTCCGCACTCCGATACAAACGAAGCCTTGAAGCCTTTTCGCTGAAGGCCTGCATCCGTCTTCAGCACCATGAACATCTCATTGCTGGAGGCAATTACAGCATAGGGTTCCCGGCCGCCACAGTAGATGCCCAACGTAGAACTATTCTCGGATCGTCCGTCGTAAATGGCCACATAGTCATATATGCATTCCTGATGGCTCTCCACTTCAAAGTCGTGGAAGGTAAGTTGTATGCGATGGCCGAGAACGGTCTGAAAGTGCCAGTAGCAATAAATGTTGCGCGCATAGTCGTTCGGGTAGTTCGGACTGTGTAGCACCCCATAAGACGAAGTAATTTCGAACTTGCACTTGGTCTCCGTGCAGTTGTGGCCATTCTTGTGAAGGGTGTATCCATTCCTGCAGCTACACTGGTATGTACCGTAGGTGTTTCGGCATCTGTGTTGGCAGCCACCATTGTTTACTGCACACTCATCCTCGTCTGTTGGACATCAAATGCATTAAATATGGATACCCCATTAGATTTCTATAGATACTTACCCAGTATGAACTGCGCCGCAAAGCCGCTCCGCTGAACCGTGCGATCCGAATGGAATTCAATCCGCAGAATATTCTGTTCAGAGTTTACAATCGGAGGCAGTTCGTTGCCGCAGTATATGCCAATCTTCTTTAGCCTGTTGTCGCGCATCTTTGAGTAGATAATAAGATAGTCATAGCTGCATTTAGTGTACTGCAAATTGGTGCCCTCCAGATCAAAGTGCGTAAAGTTAAGAAATACTGCGTGATGCACTGGAGCCAATACTTCCCACACACACTCCTTGGCATTGGGATAGAAATCAGGATACGAAGGCGAATAAAGTGTTCCATTTGACATTGTAGCATTTACAATGCCGCCGCATGCATCTAAAAATTAAAAGATTTATAACAAAACGAATGAATATATTCTACTCCCAGCCAACCTTCGCATGTTTTCCCATTGGCCTGGAGTTCGTAGCCGGCGTGACAGCCACACTGGTAGCTGCCCAAGGTATTAATGCAGACGTGTTGACATCCATGCTGCATAAACTTGCATTCGTCTACGTCCAGCATTAGGGCGGCGGAGAAGCCCAGTTTCTGCACGGAGCCATCCGAAACGAATCTAATATACATTTGATTGCTGTGAGTCCTAAAATAGTTTTAAACGATATGATCATGTAATCTTAATGGGCAAAGCTTTCTTGATTTTCTTACTTAATGTTTGGCGGCAGTTTGTCCCCACAAAAACGTCCGATTAACTTCGATTCGCTCCGGCTACCATCGCGTATTTCAATGTAGTCATAGATGCAGCTATCGTGCTTCTCCAGCTCAAATGACTGAAACTTAAGCGCCACTTGGTGGTGTGGCGGGGCCGTAATACGCCAAATGCATTCCTTACTAGGCATGTATTCTAGCGGATAGTTGGGGGAGTCTATGGACTGATCCTTGTTCAAATGAAGGTCTCCACCACAAACCACTTGAAAATGTAAGCATCCGGATTTTTGTATTGGTAAAAATAGGTAATGAATAGGTTCTTTCGTACTCACCCTCAAAACGCGCCTTGAATCCCCTGTATCCTAGAGCAGCGTTGCGATTTACGTAATTGATCAGCATGCGACTCGTCTCGGTGGTGATGATCTCGCCGCTAGAGTTGCCGCAGAGGCGACGGACAAGCGGCGACCGATGCCAATAACCATCGCGAATTTCCAAGTAGTCTTGTGTACAGTTCTCCGAAGAGAGCAGTTGCAGCTCCTGCAGATACAGAATGATACGCTCACCGTTTGTGGCCGTTATACGCCACTCGCAGTTGGTAAGGGAAGCATCGGCGTCAGCACTCGCGGCTTGTTCGCCTACATCACCACTGCCCTCGTACTCGCTGCGCAGATCGTTGCCCGTGTAGACATAATGGGGACCCACAATCTGGCCAGCGTTCTGCTGAAAAGTGCGCCCACAAGCAGCACACTTATACAGAAGATTGGCCTGTAAAATATCGCCACGACTGAGGCGACGTCGTTGACCCAGCTCGATATGGGTGCCAGAAGGTAAGCCAATAGGCGTGATTGTGTCCAGATATGAGCTCTTTGAGAATGAGTTTTTCGCATAGTGCATAATGGAATTATAGTCATAGGGCTGGAGCGGCTCGTCAAACTCGTCTGGCGATAGTACGTCGAAATTGTAGGCCTGACCACGCATTATGTTTGCCTTGTTAATGATGATGTGCTTGTCCCGATCGCCACGTGCGTGCTCATGATGAAAGCCAATGGTGTGTCCTAGCTCGTGTATGATGATGCCGAACTTTTCACAGTTACGGCCTATGGAGATGGGCTGTCGACCATTGCCGTTCTTCCCCAGAAATGAGCAGCAACTGATTTTCAAACGCACAGGTCAAGTAATGTTAACAGATATGGCCAAATGAGACTCACCCGCAACTCTTTACCGTGAAATAAATGTAGTTGGAGTGCAGCTTGGCATCTCGCTCGACAAACTTAATGCACGTAAAGTTTTCCCAGTAGCGCATGGCTTGTTTGAAGAGCGCCTTGTGAGCGCCGCTAAAAATTGGATCTATCTCGTATGGTATCACCCCATAGTCCCAAGTGCGCTCCTTGCGCACAGTCACGCCCCGCCGTGCTCGACTGGGCCGCTGCTGCAGTAACACATCTTTGGTCTCATCAGTCCAGAGCAATGGTGGTCCTGCATTTGGAGTCGACGTCAGAGCAGATTCCACTGATGACTTATGTTGCTGTCGTCGCCGTACCTGTTTCCGGCGTTGTCTGCTGCTGTGGGAATAAGGGGAATCTGAAACTCTTGCATTTCTGATTTACATATATATGCCATTGTCTGGTGCCACATTTATTCATATTGTTTATCCAGTGGGACAAATTTCTTAATGGCCGCTTGAAGAGCATGAAAGCAGCCTCGAGTGGCTGCCATAATTGAAATTGTTGACTAAATGTGCCACATTGTAGAAAACGTGCCTTTGCTTTACTAATGCCAAAGGAACGTTCAATTAACAAACTTGAAACTTACCACAACAATTTTCTCTTCCCAAACTCCTTTGTTTCTGTTTCGATTTTCTGCGGCTTTTTAGGATGTAGTTCGGACGATACATTTATTGCCTTTAACTTCAACTCAGACTCTAATGGCGAGCCAAATATCCTAGCCTCGTTGTGCACATAAGCTTGCTCTTTCTGCGAATGAGACGCAGGTGCCTTTAACAGATTAAATAAGAATCTTTCAAGCTTTTAAATGTTCTAATGTGCTTACTTGGACCGCTTCTGGCATTCCATTGAATTCTTCAGGCTGCTTTCTAAAATCAAAATCACAGTTATCAACATACAATGATCGATCCAATCCCATGGCCTGTGCCATGTCGAGCGACAAGGAGAATGCCAATGATCCAGCAAACATGAGAAACAATTTCACTTTCAATGACATGGTGCACGCTTTGGGTTCCTTTAAACAGGCTTGTTTATTATATAAAGACGCGGCTCACCGTGGACCGTGCAGGTCAAGCTCAAAATTATAACTGAATTCCTAAATGCTGCGATTGCCGAATTATATTAGGCGCAGTTACATACACAAATTCTTAAGGGTTCTTGCTCCAAGGGGACGGATACCACAGGTATAAGAGATCAAAGAGGGAAAGAGAGGTAGCAGCAGTAGAACGAGAAAGGGAGAAGGCAGAGAATAACAGGCAGGAGTCGCTATGGCAACACAACACGATCTGTCGTCATCGACAACAACAAGAAACAGATTAAATCTTAAAGAGCATTCGGGTTTTCGAACGATGACGGGACTGCGACTGGAACAAAAGCCGAGCTATCCTCATTGGCATTTAAAGTCGCTGTTGTCGCATTGTCTGTTTGCCTGCTGTTGATTGCTTGCGCTCAATGGGCTTGATTTGGGTATTCCTACACCTTGACATTGTCTTATTTTTACCTGGGAGTGAGCCGGACTCGCGAGCGCTTCGAGCGGCTCGCGGCTAAGCTCGCAGCACAAACCGGCATCGAGATCAGGTGTTGTCTAGGGCATTTTAGGGCAGGTCATTAATGACAAACCATAAATCGGGCAAATGAACGAAACTCTTCGCGGTAAATCCAACGAAAAGGCTATTGATTGTGACCCAGCGCCTTTTTAAAGTGGCAATATGCAAAAGGCCACCACCTTCCACAAGAATTTTAAGCCCCATTTTTTTTTTTTTTTACTTAAAATGCCGTTGATTTGTGTATTTCATTTTTAAACATACTGTTCATTATTAGTAAATATATTTA